CCCTGCGTGGGCAGGGACACCTCCCACCAGCCCAGGTTGCTCCAAGCCCCATCCAACCTGCCCTTCAACACTGCCAGGGATGGGGCAGCCACAGCTTCTCTGGGAAACCTGTTCCAGGGTCTCGCCACCCTCACACTGAGGAATTTCCTCCTAATATTTGACCTAAATCTCCCCTCTTCCAGTTTTAATCCATTCCCCCTTGTCCAAAATCCCTCCCCAGAACACGCTGGAGACGATGCCAGTTTGTCTTTGACGTGGGAAATTTGTTTCCTTAGGAACAGGCTCTGCTAAAAAGGCACCACGGATTTGCCACGGGGAGGAAATTCTTCCAGAAATTCCTTCCAGAAATTCTTCCAAAGTCAGCCCTGATGGTGTCTGTGTTCACCCTGAGAGGGTGGTGGCATCTCTCATCCCTGCTATCACACCAAACTCCTGTCCAAACTGACCACATTTTTCTTCCTTGCCTTTTTTATTTCATCCTAACTAAAGCAAAACAACCATTAAGGAATTACTGTTGTGGAATGCTGCCCTTGGAATACTGCATCAAGTCATCTTGGTTCCCAGTTATCATGGCATAATCCTCCTTTTTTTGTCAGTGTAAAAAGCACTATTAGTGTTTTATGAGAAGTGCTGAAGTGTGGGGGGTTTTATTTTTGCAGGGTGGAAAAATACAGACCCATGAAATTGTGTGAAATAGTTGGAAATGAAGACACTGTGAGCAGGCTGGAGGTGTGTACCTGTGCCTTTATCTTTTTACAAGTTAGAACAACCCCCCTTTCTGATTCACTCAAGAAATTAGACATTTTAGGACATGTTTGAATAGTGTGCTAAGGAAATACCCCCCTTTCTGATTCACTCAAGAAATTAGACAATTTAGGACAATAGTGTGCTAAGGAAATATGGCTTCTTGAATTGGGATATGTTCAAACCAGCCCTGGTCTGAGACAACTTGGAAAACTTGTAGCTGCTGTAATCATATTGTTGCAATGAATAAACATACTTTATCTCACAGAGGGAAACATAAAGATGTGGTTTTTTCTGGAAGAAAAATATTTTCCTTGACAAATTAGTTTGTTAACACAGTATTTATTAACAGAAAGTTCATACTAGCAAACATAACAGGTGGAAAGGTACTAAAGACCTGAGAGATCAAGGGCTTTTAAGTTTTTCTGTATTATTCTAGGGACTGACTTCTAGCAGTTTAATTAAAAAAATACAGAAGCAGCAAGATCCATAAATAAAAATGAAAGCAGGAGAAAAGAAAAGAATGGGTCAGCTCTATTTTTTTTTAGGCATAAAATAGGATGGATTTGGAAAATATTTGCTCCCATTATTTTCTTATATGATTTTTTTTCTTCTTGCTCTTTCTTAGGTCTTTGCAAAAGAGGGGAATGTACCCAATATCATAATTGCTGTAAGTATTGCTGGGTTCTGACATCTGGCCCCCAGTCTGGGGGTTCATTGTACCTGAATGTTGTGGGAGATGTGGATTGTGTGGCCATAGAGCAGAGCTCTTGGCAGAGCCCACGAGCATTGAATACTCTGCTGTTAAAAACTAACTCTGCTCTCATGTCTTGTGCTCCTTCCTTTGGTGTTTTGCCCCTGTTGGAGGCAGAATCCTGAACTGGGGCAGCCTCTGGTCTGATGTTCTCCCTGCAGTTCCTCTCTTGCAGCTGTTTTTCATGACTAGAGGAGGGTGCAGCTTAGAAAATGACATTAGACTTACCTGCAATTCCATCTCTGGTGCATTTCTAGGGTCCCCCAGGCACAGGTAAAACCACCAGTATCCTCTGCTTGGCTCGTGCTCTGCTTGGTCCTGCATTAAAGGATGCTGTTTTGGAGCTGAATGCCTCAAATGACAGGTGAGAGAGAATGAATAAACCTTATTCAACTTTTAATGAGGAAGCAAGTATCCATTTTTATTTTTAGTTCAGGTTTAATGCTAGAGTAAGGCCTTCACTACCTGTTTTAATGCAGTTTTTCTAACTAAAAGTTAGGCAGTCCTTGGTGTCCACCTGTCAACATAGATATTACTTGATGTTTGATTAACTTGACAGAGACTTTCCTGCACAGAGGTAGAAACAGATAAGAGTGAGGAATCCATAATGCTTTCTTGATTTTACTTCAGAGAGTTAAGGTCTTTGAAGATCTTTTACTTGAAAGAGTTAAGATCCTTCTAAGAATGAAAAGTGAGCAAATTGTTGTTTGTAATAGAACTCTTCAGTGCTTATTTTAATAAAGTCAAGTTGTAGAAATTAGGTCTTAAAAGGCATCTGGGGATTAAAATGTAGGATAAGGGTGTTAGTGATGTAGAAGACACTGACTCTGCTCCAAGGATCAAGCACTAAGGGCTGATTATATTTCCCAAGCTCTGTAGCAGACCCAAAATGAAGCAGGACATCTCCTGGAAGTTCCCCCATCCCTGGCAGTGTTGAAGGGCAGGTTGGATGGGGCTTGGAGCAACCTGGGCTGGTGGGAGGTGTCCCTGCCCATGTAGGGAGGTTGGAACAGGATGGTCTTGAAGGTCCCTTCCAACCCAAACCATTCCATGATTCCATGACTACAACACATTTTACCTGCCTTTGTTAGTACCAGTTGTAGAAGAGCTTTGGAATCACAACATTCATTTTCTAAACAGAACAAAAAAATAAAATCCTTTATTTTTTCACCTAAGTCTTTGTTTGGACTCTTGTCTAGGGAAGTGTCCATGTTGTGCTAGTATGACACAGTCTATCCAGCTGTTTTTCCTAACCTTACAGCTGGATCTGTGGATGTAGCTGTGTGAAATGCTGCCAGAGCAACCTTAACTGCTTCTGCCCTTCATTTTTCAGCCCTACCTTTTGCCTAAATTGTCATTTTGTGGCAGTCCTGCAAGTAAGGTTGCTGATTGTATGTATGTACACTGCTACTGTTGAATCAGTTTTTTCAGAACCTCCAAAAATGAGGATTATTGGTGTTTAAATCTGATCCAGTTGGAGTGTCTGGCTTCCAGCATGGTTTCACAGCAGTCAGACTGGCACAGCTGAAGGGGCAGGAACAAACAGCAGGAGAATAGAGAGCTCAGGAGCATTTCAGCCGCTCTGGCTGCTGAGTAAAACCCCTTACATAATGTCACTCAACTGATCATGAATCACTTGGATTCTTGTTCCAGAGGCATTGATGTGGTGAGAAATAAGATCAAGATGTTTGCCCAGCAGAAGGTCACACTCCCCAAAGGTCGACATAAAATCATCATCCTTGATGAAGCAGACAGGTAGGTTGGTTTTGTCTTGACCACTGTGTGACATGTGCTGGATCTGTCCTGTCTGAGGAGCTGCTGCCTTGGACAGTCTGAGATGTTTCTATCAGCCTATATATACAAAAAAATAAATTAATCAGGAGATAAGTCTGTGTTGAACAGTGTTCTTAGGAGATCACTGGTATCAAGCTGAGATCATTCTTTCCAAGGAGATGCTGAATGTTGGGGTGAAGCACCTCGTGATTTAGCTGGATGTGAAACAGCATCTTCCAGTTCACTGGTTCTTTCTCTCTGAAATGAGTCTGGCTTACGTAGGCTGTTTCACTGGATGAAAACTGGACATTCTCTATCTCCAAATAAGTAGCAGTATTTTCTGTGTGAGAGTGGTGAGACCTTGGCCCAGGTTGCCCAGGGAAGCTGTGGCTGCCCCATCCCTGGAAGTGTTGAAGGGCAGGTTGAATGGGGCTTGGAGCAACCTGGGCTGGTGGGAGGTGTCCCTGCCCATGCAGGGGGGTTGGATCTAAATAATCTTTAAGGTCCCTTCCAGCCCAAACCAGTCTGTGATTCTTCAGAGTATTAATGGATTCATTTTCTGTGTTAGTTTTGAGGTCTCAGTGATTTCCTGCACTGTGGGGTGACTTGTCCACATGACCTCAAAAAGCTGCTTCCTTTACCAAGCCTGAATATCAAGTCATTTACAAAGCACTGTTAAATAGCAATACACTCTGAAGCTTGTATAAAAATAGTTATTAGGCTGCACCTAATAAGGGCAAAATCTGTCCTGCCTCCTCTTCTCCCCCAGCATGACAGATGGAGCCCAGCAAGCCCTGAGGAGAACAATGGAGATTTATTCCAAGACAACTCGTTTTGCACTTGCCTGCAATGCCTCTGACAAGATCATAGGTAAAGGCCTGCTAGACCCTGGGCTGTTGTGCCCTGTGTTCTGCTGGCAAACTTCCAAGGCAGCCTGCAGAAATACCTTGGACCTGCTTGTTGCAGGAAACCAGGGTGCTTCTGAAAAGATCAAACCAGCTGCACATCCAGCTAGTGAAAGAAGAGTGTGTTTGTGTAGCTTGGTGAACCCCCTGAGCTGCTGGTTTTGGTGGACAGTGCTATGAATGACTGCGGAAGCAGAGTTCTCATACTTGGGGCTTAACCTCCATCCAACTCTGCTGCAGCTTAAGATGTTTGATGTGTTGTTTACTGGGTGTTGAGCCCCTTTTGTTGTCCTTTTTGAAACATAATCTTCACATTTATCTGTAGCTGACACATGGTAGAGTTTAGACTTGCCTTGTTTAGCCATTAAAATTGATATTATTACTTGATGTTTGATAAACCTGATAGATATTTCCTGCACAGAGGTAGAAACTGATGGAGTGCAGAATCCACAATGATTTATTGATTTTACTTGAGAGAGTTAAACTTCCTGTACTCCTGAAGATCCTCCTAAGGATGAAAAGTGAGCAAGTTGTTGTGAGTAATGAAACTCTTCAGTGCTCATTTTAAGAAATAGTGAAGTGGTAAAAATAAACATTCTGAATAAACATTCAGAAAGCAAGAAGATGATGAGCTTTATAGATGTTTGCACATCATCTGGGGAAAAAACAAAGCAACCTGCATTTGGATTCAGGTGAAGGACTCTGAGTGTGCTTAGGGAGATCCTATGTTCTCTCTGGAGATAACTTGTTCTTTAAAGCAAGACAAATGGAGAGTTGGGAACTGAGATAGCTTCTTCCAAGATGAACCAATGATTTTTTCTAGGGGGGAAAAAGAGGGAAATGCTGATGATTTGGGAGGGGAAAGAGAGAGAAATGCTAATTCCAGCTCTCTGTGCTCAGAGCCCATTCAGTCCCGCTGCGCAGTGCTGCGTTACACCAAGCTGACAGATGCACAGATCCTTGCCAGGCTCCTGAAAATTGTTGAGAAAGAAGATGTGCCATACACAGATGATGGGCTAGAAGCCATTATCTTCACAGCCCAAGGAGACATGAGACAGGTAAAAGAAGGATGGCAATGAAACAGCTTTCTGTTTAAAGGAAAAACACCTTGGAATTGTGCCTCTCAGTGATTTCGCTTTGGAGGAGTAAAGCAGAAGGGATGTGACCTGTGGTACAAGAGTAACTGAACTGTTTGGTTTTGTAAGTTTTTAAGGTGGATCTGCTCCTTAAAAGTGGATTTGTGGGAACTGGCTACCAACTTTGTGGGAGGAAACCAGGTCTTCATACGTTTGTGGTTTACTCTGTGGCTTCATTGGAAACTGCTTCTTTGGCATTACTTTCTGGAAAGTGTTTTGCACCCTGAGGAGGGGAGTGAGAAGCTGAACACTTCAGAACATAAATGAAGTTGTTGTGTTGTTTTTCTTTCACAGGCACTAAACAACTTACAGTCCACATATTCTGGATTTGGCTTTATAAACAGTGAAAATGTCTTTAAGGTTAGTAATAGTATAAAAGAGTGATGTTGGGAGTTTGGCTGTGTGAGACTTCCAGTCAGATATCTGAGCCTCCAAAGTGCTTTGCCAGTTGGCAGACAGCACCAGGGATGTAGCAATGGCAGCACTGGGCTGTAAAAGAGTCTGTGCCTTTTCAAAAGGGAGAGTGTGCTGGCAATCCCTGACAGCATGTCTGAGACCCTGTGGCTGTCCAGGTCTCTCAGAGCACACACAAATCATGTAACTGCTGGGAAATTTCACAGTGATAACTTTTGAACCTGTTACTTGAGTGTTCTCATTTTGTGCTATTGATTCTCCCATGACAGGATGTTTGTGTCACCAGGAAAGTCAGATTACTTGAAATTTCAGCTGGATTATAGAATGTGTCTAATTCAGTAAATGAGCTGTATAGAAACTGGGTGAAAATACCAAGTCTTCTAATATTTCTCTTTGATACAGGTATGTGATGAGCCTCATCCTCTGTTGGTGAAAGAAATGATACAACACTGTGTAAATGCAGATATTGATGAAGCTTACAAGGTTGGTTTTGATGTGCTGTGGCTGCACAGGCACTTCTTCTCTACACAATTCTTGTTTGTCATGAAGAATTCACAGTGTGTGGTGTTGTTTTCTTTAAGATAAGAGCAATACCATGCAGATGAGTTGATCAATGAAATCCTTTTTATGTTAGGTGAATAACCCAACAAGCCAAAAACAAGTTGTATTGACATTCCTTGCTAAACAGTTGGGGTTAAATCATCTCATAAACAGTACCTGCAGTTCCAGGAGCTATATATTCAAAAAGTGAATATGCTTGACTTACCTGACAAGCTGTGGAGATAAAGATGGGATTATTGTTGCCTACACAGATCCTTGCCCACCTGTGGAGACTTGGATACTCTCCAGAAGATGTGATTGGCAACATCTTCCGTGTGTGTAAGACCTTTCAAATGCCAGAATATCTGAAACTGGAATTTATCAAGGTTAGTGCTCTCCTAGTTCCTGGTAGGATCTTTTGGGCCTTTTTAAGATGAGGATGTGTTCCCTAAGTACAGGGGCAGCCTCAGGGCTTTCCCTTTGAGATTTGCTTTATATTAGTGCAAAAAAATAAGTGTTTAACTTCTTACTACTGGTTTTTTTTTTCCCCCACTCATCAGTTTATCAGTAAGAATGGTTACTTGAAGCTTAAAACCTAACCACCCATAGATGTGCCAAAAGTCACTTTAGTGATCAACTAGAATAACAAATGTAATCCTGGCTGCATTTATTATTTACATCAAAGCCTCAAATAACTCCTTGAGAACTTAAAGCTCTTGATTCTAGTCCAGGAGATAGGAAAATACTAAATTACATTAACAGCCAGTGGACAAACAGTGAACTGGTATAATGGAATCATGCTTCAGGTGTAAAACCTGGCCTCAAATACATGCACCTTGCTCCTGCCACAAAGGAAGTGGGAAAATACAGACTTCGATTGAAAAAAAAGCATTAAAAAAGAAAAAACATTTTAGTTGTTTTACATGAGAAATTCACTCAGGTTTGAGTGAAGGTCTCTTAGCATTAAGGGGTATGTTCTGTTCAGTCATGGATGGCACTGGACATAGACTGAGGGAGGGAAGAGAAGATGATTTTTCCAATGTCTTTACCCTCAGGAAATTGGGTACACTCACATGAAGGTTGCAGAAGGTGTGAACTCACTGCTGCAGATGGCTGGGCTGCTGGGCAGGTTGTGCCAGAAGACAGCAGCACCCATGGCCAGTTAGGGCTGGCAGCAGAACCCTCAGCTCTGCCAGGCATCAGCTCCACCTCTGCCCAGGGTTCTGCACCCAAACAGCCCTGGTTTGGCTAAATCAACATGTTCTACTGTAAAATTGTATTGTATTTTTTAAATTGAGATCAATAAAGCTTTAAATTGACTTTAACCCAAGAACTCTTACCTCTTATGTAACTAAGGTAGAACAGAGGATTGTGATAATCCAGGGTGATCAGGTCAGTTTAGTGCTCTCAACAAAACCAATGGTACAGAAATTTCAATTTCAACAGAAATGGAATCCCACTGTTAGTGATCACACCTCAAGCCTGGTTGTGAGTGGTGGTCTCACTGGGACCAAGAGGGATTTATTATTTGTTGCTTTTTTAAGGCTTTTAATGAAGCTGTAACTGAGGCAGGTGCCACTCCTAGGTGCTGCTTATATGCTGGGGGCAAGGAAGGTGTATTCACCAAACATACCCAGGAGAAATATTACACATTTCTTCATGGTGCCAGTTAGTTATTCTGGATGTTTATTTAAAAAATGTACCAAATTCTGGCAGGCCCTGCATTTGAGTTCCCTTTTCTGTTCCTGCCCTCCAGGGTAGGTAACATCATTTTACTCTAGTTTCAGCTCACCAGATAGCTAGAGCATCATGCTTTCCTGTCTGAGCTTTGGAAACCACCTTGCCAGTGTGGATGAGCAATGAAGTGTGAAACACAGAGTGAAAGCAAATATAAATTGAAATTCACCACCTCCATATCAGATGTGAGCTATGTGCAGAGCTAACTTAATGTAATTATGTTCTGGTTATAGCAGTCACAAAAAGCACAGGAAAGTACAAGTTCCCTGCACTCACCCTGCCCATTCTGGTGAAGTTTTCCACCCCACCCCACAGCTCTCAGCACCAAACTGACCCTCATGGGCATCCTAAGTTGGCTTCAGCTTCAAGAGTGAACCCTGAGCTGCAGCAAGGGCTGGTTGCACCCTGCTTTTCTCTGCCTGGGGCACAGGGGTGAGGAGTCCCAGCAGCAGGAACAGTTAGCATCATCAGTTGCCTCACCAAGACTTTCTGTAGCTCCTCTGTCAGCCCCTGAGGATGAGCCTTTTTGATTTTAAGTGCAGGAGAGCAAGGCAATTGACAACTAAAGCACAGGCACATTTGAGTTTGCTCCCACATGGAATAAAGCAAACAGCTCTTGGAATAATGGGTGTCACACTCAAAGTACATCCTTCCTTCACTAGGTATTTATTGAACTTATCTTTTGATTCCCAGCCAGTGAATTGTCACTACTAGCACAAACACTGTTAAATATGACTAATCATTTAGTATTGAGCTGCTGAGTTCTCTACAGACGTAACAGCATCAGAGCTTTTGTCCCCAGAAGCTTCAATAAGGCGCATTTAAAGAGCAGGTTGATCTTCCTGTGGCTGCACATCCCAGT